AAAGAGAGTGGGGAGAAATGTTTTTAATGTTCGAACTAATTAAGAAATGACATTTATAACCCAGGAACAAAAATCGTGTGCCAGTGTTTAGGCATGAATGAAGACGAGAGGAGAGTTAAGGTGCTCATAGGACAAGGGTTCGCCCAAAGACATGTTGCCAAAAGGACCCTTTGAAGCCTGACTTGGCATGAGAGCTAGGGAAATAGAAAATTACCAAAGTCCCATGTGCACATACTCAAAAGTGTTGGCTATAAAAACTAAACTACACCTTAATTCAGTATGGCACTTTTCACCCAGCAAGGTGACTCAATCAAATAAACTTGTTGCAACGGTCTCTTGCCTTCAGCAGTGGATTAGATCAAACATTCTGAAATTTTTGGGGCTAACACTTTACCTTGAGCACCGCGGAGGTGTTGAGATGGACAAGCCGGACTTCAGAAAGGATCGTTTTCCAGATGTCCGTATCGGTTTCCCGGTTCACAATTTCCTGCAACAGGGATGAAGTTTGTGACAAACAACCGCCTAGTTATTCTCCTTCATGCTGCAACTCCATGGCATTCACCCGTTCACTCGTTTGCTCACTCACCAGGCGCCAGAGGTTCTGGGATGGCATGGAGACGTTGTAGTCAATGTAGCCAGAGACTTCCTGTGCATGAGGGCTGAGCGGAGCGGCCACGTCGTGCCTGGAATGACCACAAACAGGACATGAGCCAAGAGTGTGATGCCGCAGCTAAAAAAACCAACAGGGTTCTGGGCTGCATCCAAAGAAGAAGAATATTGAGATGGAGGGAAGTTATGGAACTCCTCTCTTCTGCTTTGGTTGGACTTCCTCACCCAGAAAAATAGCTCTCGTGACCCCTCACCTGCCCCGTGCCCTTGGGGTGGGGCCAACGGAGGCGACTTTGCGACCCCTCCAAAATGGCCAGGCGACCCCCCTGGGGGCTGCGACCCCCAGGTTGAGAACCGCTGCTCTAGACTGTTTAAATTCAGGGATTCAGGTTTCCGGAGGTTTTAATCTTCACAATTGCAGTATACAATCAGGATTTGCAGATCCTCATTCCTTGTACTTACAAACAATCAGAATCTTCAAATAGTCACACACAACACAGGCCGATACTCGCAAAGAGTCCCACAGGGGAGAGAGAGATGGATTCGTTCATCCTCCTTATAATAGCCACCTGCTGATAGGTCGTCACTGGCTGATGCAACGCCTTTGCAATGACAGTGGCTGATGCGGTTCCTTTGCCATAACCCTCACATGGTTATGACTTAGCCATTACCAAAAAACCCTTTTGAACTGTTGCCTTGTCTGAGCTCTCTCGGGCATCCCTCTGTATACAAATGGATATAGAAGCACTCACAAGATCTCATGCAATCTATTGTTTGATATGGTATGAGTTGACATACGTGTTGAGGAAGCGTGTGGTGATGCCGTGGACGAGTTGCACAAGGCTGCCGTGGCGCACGGGGCGTGGGGGGTTGCTCACCACCAGCTGCTGCCTGGGAAGAAAGCGGGGTTCAGTGCCGCAAAGGAGGCCGACGTTCAGAGAGAGAAGTTGAGTCCGCACAGGGAGAAAGGCAGGGTATGAATAAAGGTAATAATAATAATAATAATAATAATAATAATAATAATAGATGCACAGAGAGAGAAGAGGACAAAAGCATGGGCCCATTTGGGTAGCAAATAGGCCTCTTCAGGACATTGTCATCGTTATTATTATAATTGTTATTATCATCGCCATCATCTATATATAAATAAAAATGTAATGTTCGTTTGTGTGATTAACGTAACTCAAAAACCACTGGACGAATTGACGAAATTTGGACACAAGACACCTAACAGTCCAACGAGTGTCCATCACCCATAAACACACACACACACAAAACCCCAGCGGAACAGACTTAAAAATCCAAAAATACACCATATATACATACACACATACACTCATATACATATGCACATGCACACATTCATATACACACATACATATATATATGCATAAACACACACAAATGTGCACATACACATGCACACATATACATATCCACATACATACATATATACACACAAATATGCACATAGACAAGCACACATATATACACAATATACACGTAGACATATATACACATTATATATACACTATATATACACATATTATACCACACATACACCTACATGGCAGGGGACTGCTAGTAGATATATAGATAGATATGGTAAGTAGAGATAGTAGGTAGACCTCCACCTCTACCTCCTCCTCCACCTTCCTCCTCCTCCACCCTCCTCCTCCTCCCTCCTCCTCCTCCCTCTCCTCCTCCATCTCCTCCTCCATCTCCTCCATTCTCCTCCCCCTCCTCTCCTCCTCCTCCCTTCCTCCTCTTCTTCTTTTTCTTCTCCTCCTCCTCCTCTTTCTTCTTCTCCTCCTCCACCTCCTCCCCTTCCACCTCCTCCTCCACCACCTCTTCCTCCTCCTCCACCTCCTCCACCTCCTCCTCCACCTCTCCTCCACCTCCTCCCCACCACCTCCTCCACCACCACCACCTCCTCCTCCTCCTCCTCCTCTCCTCCTCCATCTCCTCCACCTCTCCTCCTCCTCCACCTCTCTCCTCCACCACCTCTACCCTCCTCCTCCACCTCCTCCTCCACCTCCTCCTCCCTCCTCCTCCATCTCCACCACCTCACTCCTCCTCCACCTCTACCTCCTCCTCCACCTCCTCCTCCACCTCCTCCTCCACCTCTCACCTCCTCCTCCTCCACCTCCTCCTCCATCTCCTCCTCCTCCTCCCTCCTCCTCCTCCACTTCCACCTCCTCCTCCACCCTCCTCCACCACCACCACCTCCTCCACCTCCTCCTCCTTTCTCTCCCCCTCCACCTCCTCCTCCATCTCCTCCACCTCTACCTCCTCCACCACCTCTACTCCTCCTCCACCTCCTCCTCCCTCCTCCTCCTCCTCCCACCTCCTCCTCCTCCTCCTCCACTTCCACCTCCTCCTCCACCTCCTCCTCCTCCTCTTCCTCTTCTTCTTCTCTTTTTCCAATCAGGTAATTGCCCAAAACTAAGTGCATGTGTAGACACTCACCCAGTGCTTGCCGCCTCTCTGTTCAGAGAGCCCAGGTATATATGCTACAGGCATATATGCTACAGAATGAATATTCAAACGCACACTCACATCCCGGGGTCCTTGACGATCCACCAGTTGTTGACGTCTTTGAAGGGGTAGCAGGTCACCTGCTGCTGGTGGGAGCTGCCCCGCCCATCTTCATACCTGTCCAGAAAGGAAGCGGGGAAAATTGCACACACGTCAATACCGGGAGAAAGGCAAAAAAAACCAAAAACATACACAATAACAATCTATTATGGTCCATAGACCCATCGGTAAAACCAACAGTCATTTTAAATTTTCCCATCTCAGGAGAAGTCCATTTTACAAAATACATCTACATGGTTTCAAGTGATGCCCCTTATAACATAGCCAGGCCCCAGGGGAATAATACTTCACTAATACTTCACCCACACGTTCCTTGAGCTGCTCTATAGCACACAGCTGGTTACCACTATGGCTCCAACTGGACACCAACACAATCCTGTCCCAAAGCGTTTTGATATGTGTTGAGGAAACGTGAATGTGTATTGGTATAGTTGCTGCCACCACTCAAATGGATTTGAGAAATTATCTTGATGTTCTGCCTGAGGTAAACCCCGTTTGTTCACCAGCCCTCCCTTTTAACTTCCTTTAAAATGTCTGAGGTAAAAAGATGTTAAAATTTACTGGAACAGATTCTATGGAATGATTCAATGCTGAGGCTGCTTTGAAGGTTGAACTAGAACAAAGTTTATTTGTATACTTGAACACACAACTAACTTCTTCTATGAGGTACACAAGCGTATTTGGTTAACAAAGCACAATCTTCTTAAATGGTTTCTTGGTCTTAACAAGCTTGATGGTTTCCTTAACTGGGTTTCTTTTCTTTAACGTGAGCAAGTTCCCTCACTCTACTCATACCTAGTAGCAGTGAGTCCTTCTGACACACCACTCCTGGCTGTCCCCAGAGTATCTAGCTTCCCTCTTCACAGAGATCCCTAATGGCTAAGATATCCTGTCCCCTAGAGAGTAAAAACAACTTGTGTTCTAACACTCACACAAGTCCACAGGTGGCTATCTTGACCCTCCAGGTCAATCCCTATAGACACACCTGCCTCCAAACACTCTCTTACAGGAAAACTTGAGCTCACTAGAAATCCACCCGCTTCCCTTCAGATCAAAATCCAATCTCCCTGTCAGAAGCTGCCTGCCTTTTTACACTCACAGCTCCGGCTCCTCCCATCTGTCCTAGCTAATCCTGGGATAGCTGAGGTCCTCCCCTCTGCTGATCTGCCTCTCCTAAGATGTCTGCCTCACTGTACTACCTTCCTAACATAGAGGCCAGCTTACTGACTTTTAGGCTTCAGCTGCGGCCTACCAAGGTACGAGTCATGACACCCCTCTCAGAGGTTTCCTGTCGTAGTTAACTGTGAATCGCACATTGTGGTATTCCTGCGCCAGCGCAGGCCAGCTTCGGAACCTTCTAGAAAGCTCAAAGAATTGTATCCCCCTCGTGGCTCCACCTCCCCCTCCTCGAGTATATAAGGCCCTACGTGGAGCCCGCCCTCCATCCTCTTTTTTTCCGCCGTTAGCAGATCAGCTAAATCGAACCTTAACAACTACTTTTTTTGGCTTTGACACGGACTGTTTCACGGACTTTGCTAAGGTACTCTAATCCCCCTCGACCCGGACTGTTTCAAGGACTCTCTCTCTCTCTCGTTGCTCCCTCGATTTGCTCCCAGCGGGCATAATGGCTACCACCTCTTTTAAAAGGTGCTCAGCATGCCCCAACGTGCTGCCCGACACGGACGGGCACAGCCTCTGCCTGACTTGCCTGGGGGAAGGACACCTCTCCCAATCCTGTGCCGTGTGCGCGGCCTTCACGCCGCAGACAAGAAAGAGCAGGGAGCTTCGATTAAAAGCGGCCCTATACGAGAGGGCCCTGATGCCCGACCTCCCAAGCCCCCGCGCGTTAGGAGAGAAGACCGCTCCGTCGCCCGGGGCCAGGCCGCACACTGCGGCCCCAAAAAAGAAGGCAAAGAAGCAAGGGGAGAAGGCCAGGCAAGATGGCCTCCCGCTACTTGCCCAGGAGAAACCCTCCGAAAAAAGGGCGGGAAAGACTTCTGCAGCTCCCCCAACGGCCGCAGAGAGAAGCCCTCTTGCATCCGCCGACCGTATGCCGCTGGAGGCCCGACCATCCCCCATGCCGACCCTGCCCTTGCCGGCTTCGGCGGGTTCCCCGGCACCGATGCAATCCCCTCCTACCTTAGCGAGGGAGCCGGATGTGGCCGAGAGACCCCCGGATGCTCTCCAGCCTGCTGCCAGCATCGATCTCCCGAGCTCGGCCGAGCTCCACCTGCTCGACCTCCAGATGCCTCCCTCCCCGGGGGGCGTGGCCGCCGATTGGGAGCCGCTCGCCCCTCCCGCCAGGAGGGCGGAAGAAAGGCCCGTGACATCATCAGGAGCTCCCCCGGCGTCGGCAGCGGGGGCCGAGTTCGCAGTCCCTGCTCCTCCGGTACCGAGGAAGCACAGGGAGAAATGCAGCACCAGCAGGAGGAGGAGGTCCCGATCACCCTCCCGCCGAAGCAAAAGGCGCGCTGAGTCCCGACGTCGACGATCATCGAAGGCCAGGTCTCGCGCGGGCTCGTCTTCCTCCTCCTCTTCAAGTGACTCCTCCTCCTCCTCCTCCTCCTCCTCTTCTGAGTCTGTTCGCTCTGCCTCTACAGCGAGAAGCTCCAGGCGATCTTGTCGGGGCCAGAGGCCTCAACCCACAGTGCCTCAATGGGGACCTTATGGCCCAGGACCCTATCCCTTTGCAGGACCCTGGAGCATGGGCCCTGCTGGGCATTTCATGTATGCTCAGCATACAGCCCACCCCTTGCAGGCATGGACGCAATTCAGGGTATCCAGCAGAGGGGATGTGGGACTGCAACCACTGTTTTTCCCCCCACGCCATCGGCCTCAACTTCATTGATTGCTCCCTCTGCTGGAGGGCAAAGACAATTGAGCTCCACTCAGATTGCTAATACTGAACAGGGCTCTAGTTGTATTGAACATAATGTTTGTGCTGAACGTTTGATATGTGCTGACCTATCGAATTGTGAAGTTGCTAATTCTGTGAATGCTAACCCTCCTGTACCGCCAGGCACCCCTCAGGTGACCCAGGAGTTGACATTGCCATCAGGTGACCAGACTGCCTTGGAGCTAGAGGACTCAGATTCCTCTGCTGAGCCATCTGATTCCCCTCAAGCTAGGGAGACACCTGACCCCACACCATTGCCGCCAGATTTTAATAAATTTACATCATTAATAGACAGAATGATCAAAGCCCTCGACATACCAGCACCGAAGGCACAGGAACATGTCGAGGACCCGATGTTCCCGTCAGAGGAACAAGCTACCCCTGCACCCACATCACTCCCATTGCTCCCCTATCTTTTGAAGCTAGCTAAAATCCTAGATGTTTCCCCTACTAGCGTACCGGCCACGCCCAAGAGAGTCGATTCTCTATACAGGATCAATCTCTCGGCTGCCAAGTGGGTGGCCAACCCACCAAAGCCTAACACAGTGGTGGCCGAAGTGGTGAAATCAAAAAAGCCGAAAAGCACCCTCTCAGCCCCTCCCGACAAAGAGGGCAAGAAAGTAGACCTCCTGGGAAAGAAGGCCCACTTAGCGGCAGGACTAGTTACTAGGATGGCGCACTACGCTACCTATATGTCCGGTTATCAAACATTCCTGTGGACAAAAATACTCCCTCATTTGGACAAACTCCCGCCTGAGGAACAACGTTTCCCAAAGGCGTTACAAACGGAGGCCCTACTGCTATCAAAGGTCCAGAAAGACTTCGCGAAACACCTCGCGGAGTCAGCGGGCCACCTGTTCGCTACAGCGACCTCTATTCATAGACACGCATGGTTACGCACTGCCAACTTATCTGAAGAGGGCAAAGCCCTAGCAGAGGACCTCCCTCTACACGAGGGAGGCCTTTTTAACCCAGAAACGGACGTAACCCTAAAGGAAAAGCAAGAGGTCAGACAAGCTGCGGGTAAGTTTGGCTACACCTGGCAGCCGTACAATCAAACCCGCCCTAGGTGGCAAGCCCCCTCCAACCAGTACCGCAGGAACTTTAATACTTCCTTTTCTGGATCGGGCAGAGGCAGGGGCCCCCCGTCCCCCAAATTTCAAACCAACAAGAGAGGTTCCTACTCCTCGAAGTCGAGGTATCAGCCTTATCAAGCCAGATCCAAGAACCAGGGCGCCTCCAGGAAGCGTCTTTGACGCCTCCCCTGAGACGACTCCCAGTCATACGATGGGATACCCAACTCCTGGTTTATATCCCCTCAGTTGCCAGTTTCTTTTGGCTCCAACGTTTCACCCAGTTGTTATGCCCCCACTGCCCACCTTAATTATGATAACAGGTTACAAGCCTTCTATAAGAGTTGGGCCAGCATCACCACGGACAAGTGGGTGCTTGCAATCATCCAAAATGGTTACACTATTGAATTTCAGGATATTCCCCAGGTGGGAAGGGTGAAGAGTACCCCCTCTTCGGAGGCTTTACTCTGTGAGATCGACACTCTTTTGGGGAAGGGCGCCATTTCACCTGTTTCAGTTTCAAGTTTCCCTTCATGTTTCTTCTCGAGATATTTTGTAGTTACGAAACGGGGCGGCGGTTTCAGGGCCATTTTGGACTTAAGAGATCTGAATAAAGCAATCTTATCAAAGAAATTTCGTATGGTGACGCTTTCGTCCATCATGCCCCTTATACCAGAGGGCGCATGGTTCGCTACCATAGACCTACGGGATGCGTACTTTCACTTATCAATAGTGCCTCACCACCGCAGGTTCTTGACATTTATGGTGGGCAACAGGGCCTTCCAATACAACGTCCTCCCTTTTGGGCTCAGTATTGCCCCAAGAGTATTCACAAAGTGTATGGCGGTGGTGGTAGCACATCTACGAACTCTGGGAATAGTCGTTTATCCATACATTGACGACTGGCTTATTATTGGGAAATCAGCCTCCCAACTGCAAAAACATGTGTATATCACTTTGTGTCTCCTGCAGTCTTTGGGCCTGGTCGTCAACGCGGAGAAGTCCTCCTTGGAGCCATCCCGCAGCATCCTGTTTATTGGTGCGTTCCTCGACTCAGCAACACGCAGAGCCTATCTCCCACTGGAGCGATTCTACAACCTACAGGTGCAGGTGAAGTCGGCCCTGGAGGCTACCAAGGTGTCGGCCAAACAGGTCCAGACGCTGCTGGGGTACATGGCCTCCACTACCACTGTAACTCCGTTTGCTCGCCTGCGCATGCGTCTCCTCCAGTCATGGTTTGGGTCGGTCTTCAACCCTCTCAAGGATTGCCCCCGGCTCAGATTTATACTGCCCAGGGAGGTCCGTATGTCTCTAGTATGGTGGTTACAACCCCAGTCTGTGTGTTTGGGCCTTCCGTTCCAGCTCCCATACCCTACCAGGGTAGTTACGACGGATTCGTCCCTGACAGGGTGGGGCGCCCATTCACAGGGATTGGTAGCACACGGAAAATGGTCTCCAGAAGAAGCCACCCTTCACATAAACGTTCTAGAACTACTGGCCGTAGAAAGAGTGCTAAAATCATTCGAAGGGCTCGTTCTCGGCCAGGTTGTTCAGATACTGACAGACAACACAACAGTCGTCTTCTATCTGAACAAACAGGGGGGCACACATTCCCCCCAACTACTGAATCTAACATTGAGCGTGTGGGAATGGTGCATTCAGAGACAGATTTATCTGTACGCCACTCACCTCCCGGGCCAGGAAAATTCATTAGCAGACTCACTGAGCAGAAATCCACTGAGTCACCATGAATGGTCACTTCACTCCCTGGAAACGGCCAGACTCTTTCGTCTTTGGGGGTACCCGTTGATCGATCTATTTGCCACCAGCGACAACAGGAAATGCGAGATGTTTTGCTCCAGGCTTCCAGCTCCCAAGGGACAGGGTTGCCTGGGGGACGCATTCCTCAGACACTGGGGAGGGGGCCTGGCGTATGCATTTCCCCCCTTTCCTCTTCTTCTAAGGGTGGTGGCAAAATTACAAAGAGACAACGCTTATTGCATCCTGATCACCCCGTGGTGGCCTCGCCAACCGTGGTTTGCCCCTCTGCTGCAACTTGCGGGGGGGAACCACGTAAGACTAGGGAAGAGAGTCGATCTGCTGACATCTCAAAAGGGTCAGGTGTTATATCCGGATGTTCATCTGCTGAAACTATCAGCTTGGTTGATTCTGCCCAAGGGACGGATAGGACCATGAACCTCCCTCAGAGTGTGAGACAAATTATTGAGGCTGCACACAGACCTTCAACTAAACGATCATATTTATTTAAATGGGCGCGCTTTAAGGAATTCTCAAAGACAAGGAACCAAGAGCCAGAGGTCGCCCCTATTTACACAGTATTGGAGTTCCTGTCTTCACTCTATGATGCAGGACTTTCCAACTCTTTTCTGAAATGTTACCTGGCGGCCATTTCATGGTTCAGAAGGAAAGTCGGATTACCGTCCTGTTTTTCGGACCCATTGGTTAAGTGGTTTTTGAGGGGTCTAGGGAATGTTAGACCTTCTGTAGCCCCGATTGCACCCTCTTGGAACCTTGAGATGGTTCTTTCGGCCTTGATGAAGCCTCCCTTTGAGCCGATGGCTACAGCGGAACTGGGCCCCCTTACGTGGAAAGTGACCTTCCTAGTAGCTATTACATCTGCTAGGCGAGCTAGCGAACTTTGTGCGCTCAGAGTAGACCCCCCTTATCTCAAGTTCCACAAAGATAAGGTGGTGCTCCGCACCGACGTAGCATTCCTGCCAAAGATAGCCACAAGGTTTCATATGTCTCAGGAGTTGATTCTACCTGCGTTCTTTCAAAACCCTGAGACCCCCATGGAAAGAGCCTTGCACTCTCTAGATGTGAGAAGGGCGTTAGCTTTTTACATACAAAGGACTGCTGACTTCAGACAATCCCCGAGATTGTTTATTAAGTATCGGAAGGACACTAGGGGCTTCCCAGTTTCTTCCCAACGTCTGTCAGCATGGATTGTCTCTGCTATTCGTACTTCTTACAGGATAGCAGGCAAGGAATTACCCCGTCAGGTTAAGGGCCATTCGACGAAGGCTGTGGCAGCTTCTACAGCATTCATGAAGGGCATTCCCCTGGAGACTATCTGTAGGGCTGCTATTTGGGCTTCTCCTTCCACCTTTGTCTCTCACTATAAGCTGGACTGTGTGTCGAGAGGAGAAGCTAGATTTGGTAGAGCGGTGCTGTTCTCGGCAGTGGCATGATCCCACCAGCCATTTCATAGCTCGCTAGTCTACCACAATGTGCGATTCACAGTTAACTACGACAGGAAATGGAAGGTTGCTTACCTGTAACCGTGGTTTCCTGAGTAGTTACCTGTGAATTCGCACATACCCTCCCTTCCTCCCCTCGAGTGTCATGCCACTTCCTCTAGCAGCTTTTACGGCGTAAGAGGATGGAGGGCGAGCTCCACGTAGGGCCTTATATACTCGAGGAGGGGGAGGTGGAGCCACGAGGGGGATACAATTCTTTGAGCTTTCTAGAAGGTTCCGAAGCTGGCCTGCGCTGGCGCAGGAATACCACAATGTGCGAATTCACAGGTAACTACTCAGGAAACCACGGTTACAGGTAAGCAACCTTCCATTATTTGCTTTCTCAGCCTTGTTGCCACTATCAGAGTCACCCTGTGGCACGTGTCCTCTCAAAGATATCTCACAATCCTCTCCATATGAGGGATGGCTGGTCATGCGGGACAGGATTGGATATAAAAGCTGGCTTCGTTGCACTGTGTAGTAGCGGCACTGCAATAAAATGTGTTCTATTGTTTCTATTTCATCTCCCTCACAGGGGCATAGTCTTTGGGAGTAAGGAATTCCAGACAGTCTGTAAAATAATATAATAATAAATAATAAACTTTATTTATACCCTGCCACCATCTCCCTGATGGGGACTTGGAGCGGCTTACATGAGGCCAAGCCCAAACAACAAATTACAACAGAGTAAAACCGAAAACGCAAACCGAAAACGCAAACAATAAACATCATAATTACATAAAACATGTGAATACATGTTTTATAAATAATAATGTAATGTTCGTTTGTGGGATTAACAGAACTCAAAAACCACTGGACAAATTGACACCAAATTTGGACACAAGACACCTAACAACCCAATGTATGTCCTTCACTCAAAAAAATGATTTGGTCATTTGGGAGTTGTAGTTCTTGGGATTTATAGTTCACCTACAATCAAAGAGCATTCTGAACTCCATCGACGATGGAATTTGAACCAAACTTGGCACACAGAACTCCCATGACCAACAGACAACACTAGAAGGGTTTGGTGGGCAGGATACGGTGTAGTGGAAGTTAAGGCCCAAATCCTGGAAGCTTCTAACCTGCCCTAGAGAAGATTTGTCTGGGCCTCTGCACCCGCCACTCACCTGATGGGGTAGGTGTTCTTGTGCGAATGGAGCCAGCAGGGCAAGGGTTTGCCCAGGACATTGCGCAGTGTGACCTGGGAGCCGTAGGCCACCTCCAGCGGCTGACCCCGAGTGATCCGGGAAAGACCCCCCTGGAAGAAACGGAAAAGAAAAGGTGGGTCTTGCCAAGGCCGAGGTCTTGGACTACGACTTCCAGAAGGCCACCTTCGGACATCTCACCTCCAAACTGGCCTGGAAGGCGCTGCTCATGATCTGGTCATGCGGGCCGGAGCGGTAGAGCAAGGCCAGGTGGAGGTAGAAGAAGGACAGGTAGACGACCGCCGGGAATAGCACCAGTGCCAGGACACGGGCCACAAAGTGGCACAGGAGGGAGACCTAGGAAAACAAAAGGGGTGGGTGCCGCACCACACAGTCATTTCCTAATTTGGCTCACGAGGAAACAATGGTGCAGATATGCTGATGAGTTTCTTATTTCATTTTCTGCAATGTTAAAACAGCTGGGAGTCAGCTGCATTAAGATCACTACTGACCGAAAGGTCATGAGTTCGAAGCCAGTCCAGGTCGGAGTAAGTTTCCGACCATTATGTGTAGCTTGCTGTTGACCTTTGCAGCCTGAAAGACAGTTGCATCTGTCAAGTAGGAAATTTAGGTACCGTTTTTGCAGGGAGGCTAATTTAACTAATTTATGATGCCATAAAAATCTCCAGCAGCGTGCAAAGGAATGAGGAAGTACTCCATCATTGTCACGAATGGGCGGTGAAGCAACACCTCCCCCTGGTGGCCAGAATACCCTCATGAAGGCTGGAAAGTTAAATAGCTTCTGTGTGTCTGTCTATATATGAGTGAGCTTCTGGCCATTGTGTGTAGTTTGCTGTCAGCCTTTGCAGCCCGAAAGACAGTTGCATCTATCAAGTAGGAAATTTAGGTACTGCTTTTGCAGGGAGGGTTGTTGTATTTATTAATTTATTTACAGTATTTATATTCCGCCCTTCTCACCCCGCAGGGGACTCAGGGCGGATTACAATGTACACATATATGGCAAACATTCAATGCCAATTTGACATACAACGTATACAGACATACACAGAGGCTATTTAACTTTTTCTGGCCGCCAGGGGAGCTGTCGCTTTCATCTGCGACACTGATGAAGCACTTCCGCATTCCCCGCATGCTTTTGCTGGAGTGCTTTGCTGGAGTCTTTTTTATGGCCTCATAAATTAGTTAATATAGCCTCCCCACACTTTAAGATGGTACCTAATTTTCCTACTTGACAGATGCAACTGTCTTTCGGGTTGCAAAGGTCGACAACAGGCTACACACAATTGGTTGGAAGCCCACTCCAACCCGGGCTGGCTTCAAACTCATGACCTTTCGGTCAGAGTGATCTTAATGCAGCTGACACTCAGCCAGCTGCACCACAATCCCGGTGCCTAATTTATGATGCCATAAAAATCTCCAGCAACGTGCAACGGAACGAGGAAGTACTCCATCATTGTCACGAATGGGTGGTGAAGCAACAGCTCCCCCGGTGGCCAGAACACCCTCATGAAAGCTGGAAAGTTAAATAGCCTCTGTGTGTCTGTCTATATATGTTGTGTATCTATGACATTTAATGTTTGCCATCAAATCATCCAGGCATCCCCTGGGCAACGTCCTTGCAGACGGCCAATTCTCTCATACCAGAAGCGACTTGCAGTTTCTCAAGTTGCTCCTGACACGATAAAAAAAAATGTTTGCCATGTATATGTACATTGTAATCCGCCCTGAGGGTGAGAATAGCAGAATATAAACACTGCAAATAATAAACAAATAAATAAATAGCATATATAATATAAGACATTGGGCTTACGTTGGACAAGGTCTGGTCGCCAATCAGTTGCCAGGCATGGACTCCTCCGACGGCCAAAATCAGGCCGTAAGTGAAGAAGCCCATGTATTTCACCCTGAGAAGAAAGCATTTGGTCAGGTGGAAGCACATAAACTCCATTAACATGTATTGTTTACCATTCAGAAAGAGGTAGTAAGAAATAATAATAATAATAATAATAATAATAATAATAATAATAATAATAATCTTTATTTATACCCCACCACCTTCTCCCCGATGGGGACTCGGAGCAGCGTACATGAGACCAAGCCCAAATGACAATTACAACAGAGTAAAACTGAAAAAACGCAAACCGAAAACGTGAACAATAAACATCATAATTACATAAAACATGTGAATACATAACAATATAAAATTACAATAAGCACAAACAAAGTGACAATGGGCGGGCTACATGTAATGATTAAAAGGAAAACTAATTAAAAACTCGGGCGAGATAAAAGAGAAGCAGGTTATTTGCGGAGGAGGCTGTAGTGAAATTGCTACTCTATGTTAAAGTTTTGGTGTATAGCTCTATGTTTACATATGGCAGATAGGGAAGAATAGGCACAGACAGGGTAGCAACAGCAGAGATAGGATTCATTTGCATATGTGAAGCCGATTGGTCATATGCAGATTAGTGTTGGCCCAGGATTTGAAAAGGCTGCTAGGCCAAAATGACAGTTGGGGAGAGCAGAGCTGAACATTCCAAAGGGGCGGAGCCAAGGTTCTGGAAGAGGCAGTTAGAGTGAGGGAGTTTGAAAATGACAGTTAGAATCTGTGTGTGAAGAGGAGAGTTGGTTTTTGAGTGCCTGATAGAAATAAGCAGTTATGAAGATGTGTTAAAGACTTCTGATATAGAGAAGCAGTTAGTTAAATAGAGCTCGGTTTAAGGAACATAAAGAAGGCTAGTGTTGCCTTAGTTCAGAATATAATTCAGTCAAGAGTGTGTAAACCAAGTAACATGTTTGTGAATGTAAAACATTGATAGTTTATTCAGAAAAGTTAACCAAGTAAAGGATACTGACTGTAAACCCCAAGATTGCAACAAAACACAAATGTAACCACAAGCGTTGGAGCCAGAAGTTATAAATAAACTGTGTTACTTTGTTATACACAAGAGTGTTTCATTGCCTGTGACATAAAGTACAAAGGTTTAACAGCACACAGAAAGTCCCAGCCAATATAAAAGAAGAAACTGAATCAGTGTGAGGCAGCAAAGAGGTTTTTAATAAGGAAATAGTCTCTCTCCCTCGCCTCAGAGGCCACGTTACATATTGTTACCTGGAAACAACACCTTTGTCTTTCAAATCTTACCTGGAACTGGACGCCTGAGTCAACCAGAAACTCATCAGCATACCTGAGTCATTGTTTCCTCACAGACCAATTAGGAAAGGACATTCATAACCCAGGAACAAAATCCATAGTGTAACATAGTGTCATATTAACTGCAATTCAACCTAGTTTGCGGCAGCCACAAAAACAACGTTTCTGGAGTAGAACAACGGCTTTTAAAGTAAGGACTGCACACAATTCAACAGGAATAACACTTTAAAACACTTTTTTTCAGGCTAAACCAGGCTTAATATAAGGCAGACACTTAGATCAAGGCGGAGAAGGAATCAGGATCTGGGGAACGAGGTAAGAAAAATACTAAGGCCAGCTTACCCAACGGCGCAGGAGCAGCAAAAACCAGTGAGCAAAAGCCAGAACCACCATCGTGCTGAAAAAGGGCTGAAATACCAAAACAAAAAAAATCAAATTATACTACTTCGCAGTTCGCTTTTTGCAGACTCGCTGTTTCGCGGTTTTTCAACAAATATTAATGTAAAATATTTATCGCGGTATTTTCACTGTTTCACGGGTTTTGCGGTACTTGTTCTGCATTTGCGTAGTACGTGTTGTACAGTAATGTATATATTTACGATTTACAGTAAATACTGGATGAATACACAGCAAAGGCAAAAGTAGGACTTGTGCAGCGGCCGCTTGAGACGCTACTTGACGACGTGAGATTGTAAATATATATATATAGGTTTGTTCTTAAGTTGAATTTGCTTGTCAGTCGAAACAGGGACATTTCTTAAGTGTAAGTCCAGCCAAATATATATGAGTATATGTGTGCATATACACATATACACACACATACACACATATATATTTGGCTGGACTTACACTTAAGAAAATAATATAATACTATGATAATAATAATATGTGTATATAAGATATATATATACACACACACCCACACACATATATGTGTGTGTGTGTGTGTATGTATGGCTTTGACGAGCATAGGGAAGAGTGAACACTCCTGCATAGTTTCATTTGCTGTGTGTGTGTGTGTGTATGTATGATATATATATATATATATAAAATAATACACATACTAAGAATATGTAATATAAGATTCCTCTCACTTCCTGTGTTCTCAGTTCTGTTCTTAACTAGGAGTCATTTGTAACTTGGGATGTTTGTATGTGTGTATGTATGTATATTATTGTGTGTGTGCAGCCTGTGTGTATATACTAATATTATTATAGTTTTATTTTATTAGTATTATATATTTTTATTCTATTGTGATATATTATTGTTGATATATATATATACGCGCATGCATGCATACATGCAACCTGTGTATGTGTATGTTTGTGTGTGTGTGTATGCATGCGTGTGTGTGTGTGTGTATATATATATATATAGATATCTAACAATAATATAATACAATAAAATAAAAATATATAATAATATAAATAAAATAATATAATACTATGATGATGATGATGATGATGATGATGATGATGATGATGATAATAATAATAATAATAATAATAATAATAATAATAATAATAATATGATTCCTCTCACTTCCTGTGTTCTTAACTAGGAGTCATTTGTAAGTTGGATATTTGCAACTCAGGGATTGCCTACATCCACACACACACACACACACAAGTAATATGTAACATAATAAAAGAATAATAAATAGTAGTAATAATAAATACTAATATTATTAATAATACTGACATACAACTAACAATAATATAATGCAATAAAATAAAAATATATAATAATACAAATAAAATAATATAATACTATGATAATAATAATATGATTCCTCTCATTTCCTGTGGTTTTACCCTTGTTCTCAACTAGGAGTAATTTGTAAGTTGGATATTTGCAACGCAGGGATCGCCTACACACACACACAAGTAATATGTAATATAATAAAAGAATAATAAATAGTAATAATAATAAATAATATAAGATTCCTATCACTTCCTGTGGTCTCTTAACAGGGCCTTTCTGGCAAAAACAGCCACAGGTACATTATTATTATTATTATTATTATTATTATTATTATTATTATTATTATGGTCAAATCCAGGGAGCAGGGTGCGCTCTGGTTGTTAGCCCCAGTTCCTGCCAACCTAGCAGTTCAAAAACATGCACATGCGAGTAGATCAATAGGTACTGCTCCGGTGGAAAAGCAGTTATGCTGGCCACATAACCTTGAAGGCGTCTACTGACAACGCTGGCTCTTTGGCTTAAAAATGGAGATGAGCACCAGAGTTGGACACAACTAGACCTTTCCTTTTACTATTATGATATTTACAACCATACCCTGCTTTATCTCTCCCGATACAGCTACGATATATTACCTTTGGGAGTTGTGGAACTTCAGGTAGGACAAAAGGGCCAAAAGGATGAAGAAGATCAAGACGGACTCGAGCAGCATCAGCCGGGACTGAGTGATGAAGGCGTTCTCTGGAAAGAAGGAGAGGGCGTTAGGCCGGGAAAGGACTCCCGAAGGACGGGAAAGGGGCTCCCGGACATTATTCTTGCCCTCATTGGTTTCTATCCTGGTTTGTCTCTCTCTAAAGTGGCTCACAATAAAACCAGTTCTTTCTCTGGGTTGTTGTAGGTTTTCCGGGCTATATGGCCATGTTCTAGAGCATTTTCTCCTGACATTTCGCCTGCATCTATGGCAAGCATCCTCAGAGGTAGTGAGGTCTGTTGGAACTAGGAACATGGGTTTATATATCAGTTCTTTCTCCTTTTTTGTGCCAAAAGGCAAATTGATTATCAGTAGATTATATTCAATTACTATTATTATAATAGATTATAATTTAATTAGATTATTATATTATTAGTAGAGAATGATTAGATTATCATTGCTATTGATATGAGATTATTATTAGTAGGTGATGATTTTTATGTTATTGTTTTTATCATTCGTCATATATGACGAATATTATTATTATTTATTATTATTATTATTAATAATATGAGATTATTATTAGTAGGTGACGATTTTATTAGGTTACTAGCCGTCCCCTGCCACGCATTGCTGTGGCCCAGTCTGTGTATGTGTGTTTTGTGTATGTATATTTGTGTGTATTTTGTGTATGTATATATGTGTGTTTGCGTATATATGTGGTTTTGACACTCGTTGGCCTGAGATGTGTCTTGTGTCCAAATTTGGTGTCAATTCGTCCAGTGATTTTTGATTTATGTTAATCCCACAAACTAACATTACATTTTTATTTATATAGATTATGATTTGTCATACATGATTAAATTATTATTATGAGATTATTATTAGTAGGAGATGGTTTTATTAGGTTATTTTTATATTATTAGTCATATATAATTAGATTATTATTATTGTGAGATTATTATTAGGTGATGGTTTTATTAGGTTACTATTATGTTACTAGTCATATATTATTTGATTATTATTATTATTATATTATTAGCAGATGATGATTTTATTAGGTTATTTTTATATTATTTATCATATATGATTTGATTATTATTATTATATTATTAGTAGGTGATGATTTTATTAGATTATTTTTATATTATTAGATATATATGATTTGAGGAGATTCCATCTGAACATGAGGAAGAACTTCCTGACTGTGAGAGCCGTTCAGTGGTGGAGGCTCCTTCTTTGGAAGCTTTTAAACAGAGGCTGGATGGCCATCTGTCAGGGGTGATTTGAATGCAATATTCCTGCTTCTTGGCAGGGGGTTGGACTGGATGGCCCATGAGGTCTCTTCCAACTCTTTGATTCTATTATTATTATTATTATTATTATTATTATTATTATTTATTATTATAGCAGGTGGTGATTTTATTAGATTATTTTTATATTATTAGCCATATATGATTAGATTATTATTATTATGAGATTTTATTAGGTTGTTTTTATATTGTCAGTAGTAATCATTCATGCTAATAATAATATAATAATATAGTAAGATGATATGATAATAATAATATAATCTATATAAATAAAAATGTAATGTTCGTTTGTGGGATTAACATAACTCAAAAACCACTGGACGAATTGACACCAAATTTGGACACAATACACCTATCAGGCCAACAAGTGACCATCACTCATAAAAACACTGGAAAACACAGCAGAAGAGACTTAAAAAGCCAAAAAATAAAAGACGCTGCAGCGCATGTGTCCACATATACACCCAAACACATATACACAGACTGGGCCACAGCAACGCATGGCAGAGGACGGCTAGTAATCTATAAATAACAAAAATTGAATACTAGTGCAATTGCCACTTTTGCACCGTACGTCCATGAACTTTGGGTCTTTCTTGGCTCACAGTCAAAAGCTCACGGTGATGAACACAATTCTGTACGAGTCGTAAATACAAACAAGTCTCTCTCTCTTTCTCAAAGCGCTTCTGGCAAGAACAAGGGCCGTTCAGCCTCTCCGCACGCCTTGACTCACCCAGCAAGATGAGGACGGAGGCTCCGAAGGCGACGACATGCGAGAAGCGCATCTCCACCAGGATCTGGTAGGACAACGGCACCGCAAGTGCGCCGGACACGGCGGGGAGGAGGCGCAAGGCCCAGACTGGCACGTTGGGAGTGTATTCTGCAAGAGGGAGAGGCAAGGAAGCTCACCGTTTGCCCATGCCTGGGCTAAACCCATTCTCTTCTGAACCCATGGGATATTTTTGAGCATTCCCAGTGAGCTCAGGCAATGAATGCGGGAAAACATCCCTGCCTTACCTGCTCCGATCCGGTTCCACAAGAAGTTCCCATCAAAGCCTCCCAAGTACCCTGAAGAAGGAAGCAGGGAAGAGAGGAATGAATGGCTGAGAATCATTGGAGGAACCATTATTATTATTATTATTATTATTATTATTATTATTATTATTATTATTATTATGGCAGAAGAGACTTGGACTGGATGGCCTTTGGAGATCTCTTCCAGCTCTAGGATCCTATTATTATTATTATTATTATTATTATTATTATTATTATTATTATTAAGCAGGGGCTGAATGGCCATCTGTCAGGAGGGCTTTGATTGTGTCCTTTATGGCTACCGAGCCCAATTCAAAGTGCTGGCTTTGACCTTTAAAGCCCTAAACGGTTCTGGCCCTACATACCTATCCGAACGCATCTCGCTCTATCAGCCCACCAGGACCCTAAGATCTTCAGGAGAGGTCCTTCTCTCTATCCCACCTGCTTCACAGGTGCGGCTCGTGGGTACGAGAGATAGGGCCTTTTCTGTGGTGGCCCCCC